ATTAGGAAATATTTCATCTCTGAAAGGGTCATTAGGCATTGGAAGGGGCTGCCCAGGGAGGTGGTGGAGTCACCATCCCTGGAGGTGTTTAAGAAAAGGCTGGACGTGGCACTTAGTGCCGTGGTCTAGTTGACATGGCGGTGTTAGGGCACAGGTTGGACTTCATGATCCCAGAGCTCTCTTCCAACGTCATTGCTTCTCTGATTCTGTAGTTTGGGGCACAGAGTTCTGTTTCCCTTTTTAGGGTTTTAAAGCCAATTTTGTAAGTGGTGCTGCCCTGAGTAAGAACCTGTGGTTTCTGCCTTGTCCAATTTGAATGACTACAGGCAGATTCTGGGACTTGCTGTGCAGAGGACTTGGATACAGAGGATTATAACTGAAGTCTTCGAGGAACACTTTTGCTAAATCCTGAATATCCTGTATTGTCCATGAGTGAAAGAATTTAAGGCAGCTAAATTACCCTGACAGGTGATTGCTAGAGGCTACAAATCAAAAGGGAGGTATTTCATCCCACTAAAGAATTTTAAGTGGAGCATCACAGATGTAGTCTGGCTAGAGAAAGCTGATCGTGGGTAGGTGAAAGGCAGTAATGTAGCTGCAGCATTGGTGAGCGTTGTGGTGCAAATCTGAGGGGAAAATGGCTGAAGTAAGTACCTTTGCCTTCTCGCTATTCTGCTCTTAGGCATGTGAATCTATCTCAAAAACAATCTTCTTTTCCCTCCGTCTTTAATTCTTCCTTTCTAAATAAAAAGATAATTCAGTAGAATAATGTATTTAGATTGCATCGGGGGAATGTGTAACAATCTGATGCTGAGTAAGCTAATTAAATTCTTTTGTTCCCTAATATTGAGTGGTTTATTTTGCAAGCAATAACTTACCAGCTAAAGGAAATAGAAGGACTTACCATGTGATACCATGACATCACACATCTTCCTGCCTTCTCTGAAGACTACAGATTTTCTGTTCTTCTTTCTCTGTCTCTTACTGATTCTTGAGCATCGAATGTCTGTAGAGGAAGCTTGGGATTAGCAACAGTGAATATTGTAGTAGTTGGGACCTTCTCTTTAAAGAAGGGAGAGGGGACTCAGTCTGCCTCAGGTTAAGGAGGGCTGTGAGCCACCGTCTGAAGGACTCTGTTGAGACGCAATGGCTGTTCTCTCTTGCTTCCTTCCAGCAGATGCCTATCTGCAAAGGAGAGTCCTTTGCCCAAACTTTATTTGGCTGGATCAAGGTGGTTTCCTGATCAGGAACACTGAGGCGCCTTATAGATGATAGAGAAGCAGACCTCTTCTTAAACCTTTCACTTCAGAGCTGCCTGTTTCTCTCCATTTTCTGAACAGAGTTGGGAAACTCTTCTGACTTTACATGGTATGACTTATTAGCCTGGGTCAGGTACTTACTTTAAGTGTTGCAGCCTTTGAGTTAGTGTCTAAATTAACATCTGAAGTGTCTGAAAAATGTCTTAATACACAACATGTAAGCATAGTTATCTGCCTTCTAGAGACGGAATATTGTTAAGTTTTACCAAAAAGCTTTATAATCCATGCTCATCACTTGCCACGGATTACTTTTGGAGGCTATAGTGTCTTCTGTATTCATGCATTTCCACAGGGAAAGCAAAGAAAAATAATTTAATCCTGGAACAACCACTCTCATAGGAGATGACTTAATTGGTTTTGAGGCTTTTTTTTTGTAAATGCCAAAACAGGATTTATTATTTGTCCATCATTTCAGTAATATAAAAATACTCTGATTTTAAGTAAATGGTTACTATGTACACACATCATAAAAACTTCCTATGAAACATGTGTTGCTATGCTTTTATTTTTCTGACATTTCCACTATCCTCTTCTTTCTGAGATTAATTTGCAATGAAGTGAAAGAAACCATCTTTAGGTCATATGATAGCTAACTCAGTTCTGTCATTATTTTAAAAGGGGGAAAAAAAAAGTCAGTGAGGTGACTGGAAAATTTGAACTTCTTGGTTTTGAGGAAATCCTGTCTTTTTTTACTACGTTACTGAATATTGTAAAATGGGTGTTGACAGTAATGATATTATCAGGTCTGGACCCCATGCACTACGGATGAGCTATTTGCCCTGATTTTTATAGGCCTGGTCCAATGACATAGAATGGCATGAATCTTCTTTGTAATTAAGCCATTTAAATAGATGCTGTGTTTAGCAACTTGTACACTTTTATAGAGGCATTTTGTCAGTCTAAAAAGACTTCTTGTTATTGTAGAATATGAGGTGGGGAAGGAGAGGACAGCACTTGGTGTGTCAAGATGGGTACAAAACAAGCTACAACTCTTAAGACTGTGAACAGTAATAGAAGGAAAAATACTATGGAAATCTTTTCTATCTATAAACCAGGTGGATGAAGCTTTCATGATAGCTAGCAAATCATCCAGAACTCAGATCACAGTGGTAATGGTGGATAAAAATTAGGCAGCTGTTGAGAAAATAAGAATATTTTCCAGTAATTTTTTTAGTGTATTTGCTGTTGACAACTTTTTGCTACATAAAGCGGAGGAGCCATCTATAGGAGAGAGACTCTGCATGTGATTCAAAATGGGGAAGTTAGTGGAAACATGAAAGTTGAGGAAAGTTTGGGTAAATGTGACTTAAGTGAGAGTTTGTGGTCCCTAGTAACAAAAGGAGGGAAGAATGCTAAAGTAAAAACAATGCATTTTGTGAAAGAAGGCTACAGTAAATACAGAATTGGTAGATAAGATCTCTCTAGTCAAGCCTCAAGGGGAAAAGGAATTACGGAGAAGTGATGCTTTGTCAGAGATAATACTAAAGCACAAACAATGCTAATGCAGAGATTTAGACTTTAATTAAACTGTAAATTCTTCGTTGACCTCTGAGACTTTCTCGTTTGCTGAGGAACAGAATAAAAGATTTGTATGAGAAAGGGACAAATTTAGGTAGGGAGCAGGGAATGGGGACACCCAAATTAACTGCATTTCATTTTTAAGCAAGAGGCATTAAGTCTCTTGACACACATCCACCTCCAAAAATGTTCTGACACACAGTAAAAGAAGAGCCAAAGAAAGTGTTTATAATTTATAAGCCTTTCCTCTAATGACCAGAAAATGATACTGAGGTCTAAAGCTTTTAATCTATTTATTGTGCAAGATTTTGCTAAGAAAAGTCAGCTACGTATAGTTGGCTAGCATGGTACTAATGCCGAAACAGCATTCTGCCCTCTGTGTATGCAAATTATTTGTTTCTGAAAGTTAAATAATATTATGAAATGTGAAAAAATGTCACCAACTCTGTGGCCAGTTTTGGAATACCATAGATTTTAATTTGAAAGTGTTACATACATATCTTTGGGAGTTACTTTAATATTAAAAATATTTAGAAGTTCCCTAACTTCTCAGTGTAAAAACTTGGTTTCTGAGATCTTTTCTTTTGGAGTTTATACTCTTGACAATCTGACTGGTAATGTTTCAGCTCAATAAATACCTCCTTTGGTTGGAAATACCAGAAGTTTATTTTTAAATTGTGCTGCATTCTTCTGACCTGTTTGCAATGAAACCAGCAATTGTTTATGCTAAATTTAGTGTGATAATGTGTATACTATGCCATTTAGAGAATCAAGCTTTACATATTTAATCAAGAATCTGTACAGAATATAATACCATATGTAGGTGACATAACTAATGTATAATGCTTTATTTTAGGCAAACATAACTGCCTGCTTCTGCAGGAAGAGTATTACTAGCATAAAGTCAACAGCATATTCAAGGATGAACCCTCCTAGTCTAATTTAGCCTGTGCTGGCGTAGATACTCGGTTATAATACAGACTTCTTCAGGCAGCTATCAGATCTTTTTGGTTACCAAACAAATAAGATTTTATCTATATTATAAAACAGGACTTCTGCTACAACTGGGATAGCTGAATGAAAGAACCAGTAGTGGTACCTTCACTTCTAGATTCTGCTCTCTTCCACGCAAGTCTTAGGGAGCAAAGTGGTTTGTTCTGTTTTATAGACAGCTGAGGGGGCCGTCAAATGCCAATTAGGGAAGGCAGTGATATTTTTGAGCACTGAATGTGGATTTCACTGTGGTAGGTCCATGTGAGAATGCCAGAATATAGTATAAAAACAGTAAAAGGTCACTGCCTACTTCCCCCCCGCCCCCCCGTAACCATTATTTGGAGCATATTTCAGATGCTCTTCTCATCTCAAGGCTCTGAAATAAGTTTTCATGTTTTGGGTTTTTTTAGTTCATTTCATGACAGTTATGTCAGTTGCTTTAGCTGGTTCCCATCATTTAAATCAAAGGATCAAAGTACTTGCATCCTCTGGGACAAGTATAAATAAAAAGAATTGAAATATTCTTAGAAAATATTCTTATTATACTGGGGATCATTTGCTAACTTAGTTTTTCCAAGGGATGAAACTAAGTGAGAAAAAGCTGGTGCCAACTCGGCCTTCTGAGTAACTCTGAAATATTGCCAGTGACTTAAGTAAATTATTCTTAGCAAAACAAAATTACTTCAGGAATATTACATGTATTATATGTATGGCATTTTACACACAGTTCAGCTCTTTCAGGAGATCACGGTATTAAGAACACAACTTTATTAGTACGTTTCAGGAAGCTCAACATCTTAAGCATGATCTGTGTAACATTCCTATGGCTTATAGCTGGGCGAGATGGATATACCTTAACTGTGTTGACACAGAGCTGTGATGGCTGTTGGGGGGAAAAAAAAAGCTTGCAACTAATAAAGAAAAGTGGCACTTTCATTAAATTTCATTGTAACCCCACTTTTTCTTGGAATGAATTTTAACTCAAAGTTTCTGTTGTAGAGGATAGAAGTCTCAGCTTTCTCCATGCCAATATTTCTTGCTTTTTGTTCTATTAAATGTTAAACTCTGTAACACCAATTAAATCTACCGTAAATTAAGCGTAAGTAAATATTTAATCTTTTTGTGAACTTTCAATGGTATACTAGTGGTTTCTCTTTTTCTTTGAATTAGATGGAGAGCAGAAGACTCAAGTGATGATTCATGGAATTGAGCCAATGCTGGAAACACCCATACAGTGGCTAAGCGAACATATGAGCTACCCAGATAATTTTCTCCACATTAGTATCATTCCCCGACCTACTGATTGAAATTCAGCTATATTGGTATGATGATCATTCGCAAGCTGGAATTATAAGGGCATGTCAACTTCTTGCTTCTGTCAGTCTTGACAGAGGCAGCCTGACCAGAAAAAAAAAACCCAACCCAAAACAAAACAAGAAGTCCTCACTGCTGCAAGCCAAACAGGAAGAGAGATCCTATCATCAGATAAGGGCAATTGGGCTGATCTTATTTTGCATCACCGCTGCTTTTCTTCACCGCTGTAATTAAATCAGTTGCGATATGAAAGAATTTACAGGACCTCTGCAAGTCTGCTGTTTTCTTGTAAAATATAATGAAGCTGAAACTGTCAGCCGAAGAGCGAATGGAAATATGCCACTTGATTGTATTTCTGATTAACAAATAAACAGGGCTGTTTCCTAAAGCGGTAGTGTTTCAACTTTGAGAGTGGAAACATTGGTTTAATTTTCTAGAAAGTTAGACTCTGAGAGATTCAGTTACCAATAGCTTTTTGTAAAAGATCAAATTACTGTAAGCCCATCTTTCCTTAATGAGAAGTTCATGTTTACAGTATGTGTATTGGTATGCAAATGATCTTTTAACTTTGATAACAAGCAGTGAGAGATTTTAAAGTAAACCCAAGAGCATGTTTTGTCATTTTAAAACATGCACAACTTAATAATTTATGAATACTTTTGATTTGTATGCTGTCACTGAATACTCCAGTATGTTTATTATTCAAACCAGTTTTCATAGACTAGCAATGATGTAGGATAATTTGTCTCAGGATTTGTCATGGCATTTCTTTGTGCTCATCTAAATTTTTTTTAAACTAAATTAAGAAAATATTCTTACAGAAAAGTTAAAAAGTAAACGGATGTTGCAAACAATTGTATCCTGCTGTTTATTCCCATAGACTAGAAAACAGTTAAAACATAGAACGATGAACAGATGTATTGCTTTTTAATAATTTTGAATTTTGGAAAGCTGAGGCTTTTCCAGGCTAATACTTCCTTACATCTGAGTTTAGTTTTCTACTGTGGTCCCTGAGCCATCAGTCTGAAATTTGGAAGCTTCTAATCTCATTGCACAGATTTTTCCTTAGTTTAGCAGATGTATTTTTAGGTTATTGGATCACTTGAGTTGCTAAATGTTTGTTACCATTGTGGCCGCTACTAGGACTCTACCGGGTTTTTTTTTTTTTTGTTACACTGAATTCATCAAACTGTGTGCTCTATTGCTTTGTCTGCAGTTTGCAGCTGTTTGTGGCATAAGACTATGTTTATATTAGACATATTACCAAATATGTCAAATATTATCAAATATCAAGAAAGCATGAGATTTTTTCTTTCAAAATTTGTAGCTTTTGAAGTTCCTTCTCAAAGTTTTGGCTTGCAAATGTCCCGGTAACTCGCAGCACTGTTCCCATTTGTTTCCATGCTCCCTTTACAGTAGGATACTTAACTGTATCTGAAAAAGAAGAAACTGAAAATCAATCAATCAAACAAAAACCTCTTTAAGAAGCAAGAGGGGAAGGATCTCCTTGGATGAGGACAGAATTGAGGTTAAAAGAAGACCTAAGGGCAGGAAAAAGTCAGCAGACAGAGAATATTTTAAATGTAAATGAGGAAATAACGTTAAGGAGATGGAAGAGAAAAGGTAATAGTGAAATAAACCTATGCTGTATTCCGTGGGTCATGAAGAATTTTTAAAACAAACCAAACCATGCTGACCTGTGTTTATGCAGAATTGAAATATAATATTCTTATAGTGGGATGATTTGGTTGAATTATTCTAATTTCCAGTTTTGTTTGGAATTTTTGTTACAGTGTTGGATTGGCATTTATAAACTTCCTTAGGCAGACACATCTAAGTACTCTGGAAAATTTCAAAGTCCTGCCAACGGACAAAGCAAATATTTTGTAGAGTCTTCATATTTTAAAAAAAAAAAGTCTTTTGTAGGAATCATTTTTCCATTAAGCAGGATAAGAGGCAGTCCATTTTAAAAAAAATTGTAAAGATTGTGTTTCCTTCGTTTTAAGGTAAGCTGGATTAAGTTACTAGCTATTTTAATATATTCTACACCAGCGTTTTAAGTATACAGCTCTCGTCTCATGGCCCATATTTGCTCATAAATCCAACTTTTAAGGCCTAGCATGGAACAAAGAAATAGCTTGGCTTTAAAACATACTCTTTCTTCTTATTTTAACTATTTAAACTTTATTAAAAAATAAACCAAAGTTTGAGTCTGTCTTTATTTCCGGCTAAATAAGGATCTTTGTCATGTAGTGACAAAAACATTTAATTAATAAGTAGGAACTTCTTAAAGAGCTGGTTGTGTGGTGCATCTAAACAAAAGCACATCATCACAAAAATGAAGTGGCGTCTTTGCTTTACCTGATTTAAATCACATTTTTGTAGTTTCTTTTACTTAATGTGTGAATAACAATAGCGACAGAAGGTGCATTGTGGCTTAATTAAATGCTTTGCTTTGAAATGATGTAACTTCTGGAAAAAACAGGTTTGGTCTAAATTGGTCTGAATCTAACATAGTAATTTCGATAATAAGGAAAAGTGCCAAATGCACACACACTTCTCGACATTTAGAATTTAAGTGTATCTGGTGAGCAAGTTAAATCGTAGTTTAAAAAAGAGCAAAATACAGAGCTTGTTGCTGTCTTCACTGTATTTCATGTTGGTTGGCAATGGCTACCTCCATTTTTGAATGTTCAGTGAAGAAAGAGTGAATTTTCCAACAGAAAGATGTTGGAACCAGATATAATAGAGCGGACTAAGGAGAGGGGTTATTGCTGGGAAATGAGCAGAGCTCCTACAATGGCGTGTTAGGCTGCTGCAGCACCAGTATTCCTGGCTTCCCCTTAGGTACAGAAAATTCAGAAAAGGGAGTGGGAATTGTTTTGCTCCAGGGGCAGTGGTTCTCACAGGGAATATTGAGGGGGGTTCTGAATGTCCCTGTGTGGAAAGGAGAAATTGGGGCTGGTATAGGGACTGTGCTGCCTTAGTGGCAGAAGTGCAATTAAAAAGCTGGGTAAGTATATCGCTGTGATGGGGAAATTGTGCACAAACGTGAAGAAATATTAAATCTTAAGGACAGATCAGGCACAGGAACGTGCAGTATGAACTAGCTGTTACTAAACCTGCAGAAACGAAGACTGTTGAGCTACTTCAAACCCAGTTATTTCTCTGCGAAGAGTTTTGAGAGCTGTGGAGCAAGCCAATACGAAGGTTACGTTATGAAAAGGGTAAGAGCTGGTTGCCTGTGATAGCGGTTATTGGGCTCTGTGACTGGGAAAGTCCTTTGAGTTCTGTATTCCTGCCTGTTTTGCTCTGACAGCCAGATACCTATCAACTGATGAAGACTCTTGATCATCACTTCCAGCATTACTTATATCTTCCATAACAATTATGGCTTTTTAAAAAATTTTATTTCCTTACATGGTGAATGATGTCTGAGTGACAAGTTCTTGTTTATGGCACTGAGGATAGCTGGTGTTTTTTCAGTTTCAGTATTTAAGAAAATCTGCATCTTGGCTGTACAAGTGTGTTAGCGCACTCTTAGAAGACTTCCAGGGCTAAAAAAAATGACTGCTCCCTTTAGAGAATGTTTTAAGCATTCTCTTAATGTTTTAAGCATTCCCCCCCC